AAAAAAAAAAAAGAAAGAAAGAAAAAAAGAAAAAGAAAGGGAATAGAATGAAAAGAAAAGGAGGGGGATAGCGAAAATAGCAAGAAATGGAAAAGAGTAATAATAACAGAATAAACCCATTAAGCCCATGCATCACAAAACAATACTCCACCTATGGACTGTGAGCCATGCCGTACCATCTGCTAGGACCAGTATCAGTGATCGAATATAATAGAGGTCGCCCTCTTCACATGTGTATCTTCCGATTTTGCTTTTCACATGAACCTCAGAAACTGTTGTGTTGGCTTAATGAAACAGGGAATCATCGAGCATGGCGTACAAATGTAATAAGTCAAATTCAAAAGGCCACCCAAAAAGCAGGGAACAAGGGAAACATGCTGCATCAAGATATGGGTGATGTTAAAACGTATAATAGAGTCGATAAAATCAAAGTTGTTTGCAGTCAGTTAACTGCTAGGAAATAGGTCATACACCCGATCGCAAATCGTTCGTTATAATGGATCGACCTTATGGAAGACGGCCCAACGGAAGTTATTAACCAAGACTGCGAATGCTTCGCTTTTTATGTAAATGCGGACCGTCATCATGCTCGTCGATGCGAGTAAGACCCCCAGGGAGCGTAGTCTGTTGGGACTTCGCGAGTTCCAACCTTTCCATTAACCCTCCAATAGTTAGATAGTCTTGAGCACCCAAGCCGGCAGGTTGGTGCTCGAAATAATTCATCACCAACTCTAATGCCCTCCGAGCTTCATCCTGGGTTGGCGAGCCAGGCGAACTTACAGGCGAAACCGTGGCTGACTTCGGAAACAATGGTGGATAAATGGATTTTGCCTTGATTTCCGGATTGCTACGGTTGCGCTTGATTGTGCTGGACGAGGTATCGAGACTAGGAATAGCCTTTGGGTTGTACTCATCCATAATTGGTGATTCTTGTAAAATGGCTTGTTGCGTTCCAGTCTTAGGTGAAAGCTGATCAGGCTGTTCATCAGGCGAGAGCACATTTGGGTCGACGCTAATAAAAGGGAACGTTTGGCTCCGCGGTCTCTTCGGATTGCTATCGGTAGATGAGTTGTGTGATTGACTAGCGGGAGTGAAGGGACTGTCTGTCACCAGTGTTGATGTTGGACTGGTCACGGCGGCAGAGACAGAAGATGTGGTATCAATAGAGATGGTACTTGTAGTGTGCATGTTTTGATAGTCTCCCAGAAGGTCACATAGACTGTCTGGCCTGAAGTTCTCCTGACTCTGGGTGGGTGACAACGGCGAAGGGGTCGCAAACCCCGTGGGAGAGATAGGTGAAAGGACGCTGGGTGACTGTATGGCAGATGCTATCGCTGAGTTTATACTCAGCCGCCTGGGGCTTTCCGAATCACTCTTGGCGCTGAAAGAGCTCTTTCGGGACTTCAAGCCCATCAAGTTATTTTTGTGTTTGAACTTTTCCAGCCAGCTTGTGCTCAGCACTTTCTCTTTGCCATCGGGGCTACCACATGTATTGGCGAAGAAGAGAGCTTTTTCCTTGATCATCTCATCACTGAGGGGATAGCCGTGACGCTGGTAGTTTCTCACCCAGTTAGAGAGAGCCTTTTCTATATCGGGAACCCGTCCCTTGGCTCGTTTGATGGGGGAACGTGTCCCATCATCGGGATTAAGATACTTCTCTTTCTGACGTAGCACTTTTGAGACCGTACTTCAGCAGATGGATAACGTGTCAGAACTGATTTACTCAAATCAGAAGCAGATGGGAATGCGTGGATTTATTACCTTCGTTCCACTCCAAATATCGCTGTTCATGTTTTGTCAGTTGATGTCCACATGAAGAGAAGAAATTAGTGTAAAGACTGACCTCCAATGTCTGTTTGCTTGGCGGTTTTGTTCTCTTCATGATACAAGCACATTCGCCGACGATCATCATCCGTAAGCGTCCTTCGCGGTGTCGAGTTACTCGTTGATGCCTTGCGTGGCGGCGGCGGTGGAGGTGGCGGCGGTGGAGGGTTATGTGTGACTGGCGATACCGCTGGTGGTATGGGCACAGGCGGCACGCTTCCCTCTGGAAAAGGGTGCTGCGGGTGAGTCGACATCATACTAGGCCACGTATTCGAGGGCATAGTTAATGGAAGTGATGCATACGGGGGTGGTACAGACACTCCGTACGCCGACTCCAAAGGCAGCATGCCGTACCCAAATCCATGGTAATCAAGCGGTGGTGACTGCTGGGAAGGGCTGAAACCACCCAAATCCAGCCAAGGCGACTGGGTATAGTCATTATCTTGGCCGTGTGTGCTCTCTGTGTCCATAGTGGCAGAGGCGAGGAATATCATGAGAGCACGATGCAGAAGGGAGAAACAAAAGGGGGTAGGTTACTATGGGAGTGGCTCTGGCAGCACTGGGGCAGGCTTCTAACCAGGCCGTTAACAAATATAAAGAAAGCGATGGGAACAATGGCTCAATGGGCAGGGAAAAGATAAGGCGAGCTATCTGAGAAAGTTGGACCTTCTCTACATCCAAGAATAGTATAAACGAGGATGCATGTTCAGCACAAAAAAATTGCGATTACACAAGCTGCCGTGCAAATAGCAGTGGTAGTAGATATGTGCCGAATTGAAGCAGCAACAATGCGGTTCCCACGACGGGAGGAGTTCTTGCAGCGCCTGGATGCCTGATATCTAACCCGAGTCGCCCACAGCCGAATGTATGCGCACAACAAGAAGAAGCATGCAGACTATATTATTCTCTTTTGTACAGGGGAAGGACGAAATGAACGGAGGGGCAATGGTGGGTGCGGGTAAGGCAAAAAAGACATCAAACGGAGTTAAAGGGTCAGACCGGGACACAGGCCCAGGGGACGATCAGGGAAGAAGTAGCGAGTAGTAAATAAGGATCGTGGAGGAGCAGGAGAAAGTGTAGGGAAGAAAGATAGATGTATACTCCGTACTGACGATGTAAGTATGGATGGGATGGAGTCAAAGGATGTACCTCATCATCTGGGCCCTGTGGTTGGTTGCGACTGCCTTTCTAGTCCAGGCAAGTCGTACCTGATTCGATGGTCGACCGGGACCAGGTCTTGCATTTCGACAGGACCATCTTTAGCACTACCTATTTTGTGCCTGTCAAAAATTCGTTTAGAAAAAGAAAAGGAAAAAAAGAGAAAAAGGAAAAAAGAAAAATAATAATACTATAATAATAATAAAAACTATAAAAAAAAATTAGTCCTTAAATAACAAGGGTAATAAATTCACAGACACGAAGAGCTACGACCGACGGCACAGGCCAGATAGCGTACCATACGAATAAAAAACCAAACTTCGCACGGCGATTGGGCAGTGCTCAGAAAGTAAAAAAATATAATATTATAATACTCTTGGAAATGGTGGGGGAATTCGCCTCTGATTGGTTGCTGGCTAGATTACAAGGGCAGGGATGTCGCTCGAGCCCGAATACCGCTAAGCTCGTACTCGCTCATACGACGTTCGGTCTGAATACTGTATGAAACGTGACAATGTTTCCTACCAGATAGCTAACGCGGTTGGGAATAGTAAGACTTGTGCTCTATGTGAGCTTGACTTGTTGTTATGATAGATGGAATTTACACAGCGGAAATTTTCAGGGTGTTGCACCAAAAGTCTAGATAAATGAGAAAATCGGGTACTTGGACAATTGCCTATTCTAGTATACTCCAGGCAAAAATTGTAGGAGCAAATTGGGTACCCGATCTAAAGGTGGAGCGGAGATGCCAGAAAGGAAGGGGGGAAAAAAAAAGAAAAAGAAAAAGAAAAAGGAAAAAGGAAAAAGCAACATTCAATCCAGGACATGTAAAAAGAAATAAAATTCAATCATGAAAAGAGAGAGAGAGAGAGAGAGAGAGAGGGGAAAGAGTACATGCTGCGCATCCTGTTCCTTTTCTTTTTCTCTTTTATTTTATTTCATTTTATGGTTTTTCTTAAGAAAAAAATTTTTTTTTATTTCTCTTTGCTTTTTTTTCGTTCGCTCCTTTGGGGCTCCTGTCAATGATTCTCTCCGTTCCGTTAGACAGAATTCCTCGAGCCGGACGATCCTGTAGCACCTCGCACGAGAAACCTCAAGTGGGTAATCCACGGTTTCCTCGAAGAAGCGATCGTCCTCAGGCGAAAATCATATACAAAGTAAGAGTTTCCTCTCAGCAAGCCAAGATCATACTCACGGACGGGGAACGGATCGATAAACCGCTGAACCTAAATGCCCGCATGACATACCTTAGAGATAAAGCGAAGATTTCCGACTAGACTGGCGACCGACAATCATCTGCGAAGGGCCCAACGGCTTTTTTCCTCCTTTTCATCATAAGCTCCGCAGTAAGAAATAAGTATCTTCATTGTTCGGTACCGAGCTCCCCCGTCCCTTCGATCGTTCCTATAGTGCCGGCCACATGTGAGAACGTAGGATCACCAGGATATTTTCTTTTTTAAGGAAAAAAAAGAACAAGAAAAAGAAAAGGTGAAGAAAAAAGAAGGAGGGAGGATAGCAGAGTGACACGCGATATCATCATCATCATCATACACTTGACCATGGATTGGCGTAAAAAAATTTTTAGAGAGGTGTAGATCTTTCGTTCGCAATTTGCGATGATGAAGCCTCATTTGGCTAGTCTTTCAACAAATGATTTCGGGGGTGTCAACTTTGGGTATGAAGCCACTATCCTACTTCGGGGTTGCTCTCCTTTGCAAAACGACAAGAAATATGCGAAAGCAAGATTCACTTTGAGGAGAGCCAGTCATTACTAGGCCAAGGACCAGGACCTCATTAATCCCAATAATCAACCAGTGGTAGCAGTGCCAGGCCGATCTGCATAGTACTTTGTCACGAGAAAAACGTCAGGAGATGGTTGCCAGCCAATGAATTGCCGTAAAGTGATTTCAATTTATTTTCTGTTACATGGGCTGAGCATCGACTGAAGGGGAGGGTTCGTCCTATCATACGAAGTAGCAGCGGCATGGTTCGGGGCTTGGGTTCGTCTAGCATAATTAGATAACTTACTTGACCACGGTACACTTCGGGCATGATACTACTAGCATGAGGGCGAGGAGCTAGGACCCCACGGGGCCCGCAGCGGTCCACTCCGGGCCGGCAACCTAAGTAAGCAATGCAAATCTTAGAAACGAGACCAAATGGACAAAAGGAGAAGAGTGGAGAGCGTATCTACTAATTAGTATCATAGGGGAGAAAGTTTAAGATGAGGAATAAGACAGAAATTAGCCGATTCCGAGTTTGGCGAATGAATTCATTAATTAATTGTCATCTATGTGAAAAGGTTCCAGGTTAGGAGTAGTAGGTACTAGTACTAGTTAGCTCAAGATATGCAGATAATGATCGGACGTTGTTATTCGGGGGTTAGCAGTAGAATTGACCCTAATCATTACAGTTTAGCTCCTTGCGATTTTTAGGTTCAACCCCCCCCCCCCCCCCCCCTTCTCCCCAGTATTCCTGACTCGCCATCAGTACGGAGTACACACCTATTAACTGCCACAACGCCCGGACGGTACGTTCTTGGATGGTCCTGCATTGCACATCGGTCTGACTGGTTGATTGATTTGCTGGCGGGAAGTCGTCGACGGAAGATTGCGGTACAAGGGTACATTTAGATATACGGCTGTAGGTGCAACCCGGGTATACTATGCGGGATGCGGCGTCCATTAATGCATCGTACAGCCTTACCAGGGCTGGCCCCTTCGAAGGAGATCGCCTTTGTACATAATGTACTAACCAGAACATATTAAGGCCCTGTCTCAGTTACCTACCCTAAGTAGTTGAGAGTACGGGACGGGGAGCGCGGAAAACGTGATCGGTGTAGCAACTAATTTTTCATCTCCAATCCATCCGCCCCGCTTGTTCGGATAACCACGAGGGCTGTCAAGACTAAGTTATTGTATGTAATACTGTGTCACAATCACAGCGTACACCTTTTTTTTTTTTTTT